AAGATTAGGTTAAGGGTGGAGAGGAGCCCTGCTGGGAGCCAGTCTCTCTACCAAGGGTGTCCTGACTTTGCTGAAACCACAGAAGAATTCTGGGAGAAAAGTGGTGTTGCTCTAATTGACAGGCAAGGAGGGGCCAGGATGTAAAGAGACTTCTGAACAATCTGTCTTGTGTGACTTTCCAGGGCCTGCTGGGCCCATTTGAATTGACTTAACCGGGAGAAGATTGAACGGCACAAGTGAAGGTCCTGGGAGGAGGACACTCATGGACACCCAAGGGTGGGGCTTCTTCCTTTCCCCAGGCAATTCTATTCCCCCCTTCTCAATTAGCTTTTTTCTCTATTGATGCTACTCTCTTCAGATTGTTTTCCTTTATTTACAAATATGTTATTTCCTACAAAGTAGTATGTGTATATATGTATGTATATGTGTATATACATATCTATGTATGTATGCAGATTAAAGAATAAAGAGTGCTTACCTACCATACGCAAAGTCCTGGTAAGGCAGTGAGATTCTGTCTCAACACACACACACACACACACACACACACACACACACACACACACACACACACACACACACACAAAATGAAATGAAATGAAAAAGTAGGACACTATAGACCTCTGTGTTGGGGATGGGCTGGTCTCCCCATTGAGGGTTAATTCATTTCTTTCTGGTTGTTTGCTCTTAGAGGTGGGACCACCAACAACCAACACCATTCATGTTCCCATGAGCTTGTGAACATAGACGTTTGTCTGTCCATTGAGCAAGCATGCATAGAAATGGGAGCATAGGTCCTCTCTGTGGTGCTCATCACATCATTCGTGTGACATTCGTGTGTCTACGGGGCCTTTCCAGCTTACTCTCAGGTGGTGACACTTCTTATGATCTCACCTGCTCACACACCAGCTTGATCAGATTAAAAATTGTTTCCTCAAGCCTGGAGGTGGTAGTGCGCACCTTTAACACCATCACTCAGGAGGCAGAGGCAGGTGGATCTCTGTGAGTTCAAGGCCAGCCTGGTCTACAGATCAAGTTCCAGGACAGCCAGGGCTACACAGATAAACTCTGTCTCAAAAAACAAACAAACAAACAACAACAACAAATAAAACACCAAAAATTGTTCCCTCACCTCCTGGGTGAAAGCAACATCTGATGGTCATCCTTATTTGTGTCCCTATTTTGTTATGTGAGCTGTGATGGAGAAAAGCAGTTGTCTGTAGTTCTGTAGTCTGTGCCTCAAAAGGTGAAAGGGTTAAGGACAAGTCTCCCAAGATTCAGGAAGGAAAAAGGAAAACCTAAAGCTCTAGCATGATGTCACTTCCTTGAAAAGTTCCAGGGCAAGCCCCCAACAAAGGCCATCTCCTTTGTCTCTGTCCCTCTTCCCAAGATGTCACTGAGGGCTTGCCTGCCTACCAGCCTTTCTACTTTCCCAGCCCATGACTCTTCCTGCAGGGAGTTGCTGGAATGTCTGGAGCCACCTGAGTGTGTGGGGCAGGCACACCAGCCTGCTGTGGGACATGACAGTAGCAAGTCCACCTCGGCTGTCTGCAGGCAAGAAAATTCCTAAGGATCCAATCTGACTTCACATCTTCCCTGTGAGCTGTAGGAAGGAAAAGCAGCTGCAGACTTGGAATGGAGCCCAGGGCAGGAGGAGGCAGGAGAATTGTTTTGTCACTTATTGCCCCTGGGGCCATACCTGTGCCTTGAGGCTTTTCTTCCTGGATTGCAAAATTTGAAGAAGGATAGAGATTTGGAGAGCTCTGGACTCAGTCCTTCTACTTCCAGCTGGGTGACATCACCTCTCTGAACACCCATTGGCCAATTTATAAGTTGGAGGATCTATCACCCACCGGACAGGTTGGATGACTCAGACCCTGTACTAGCTCAGTGCCTCTAGCGTAGCAAGAATGCCATTAATAATAATAATAACAATAACAGACTGGGTGTGCCTTTAACCCAGTACCGGGGAGGCAAAGGCTGGCTCTTGTCTGTGAGTTCAGACCAGCTTGGTCTATATTATGAATTCTAGGCCAGCCAGGGCTAGATAGTAAGACCATGCCTCCAAACAGTAGTCGTAGTAATAATGATGATAATAATAATAATATCTTGCAAATTTGGGATATGTTTTCAAGTTAGCATTTAGGGTTGTTTGGGGGGATTATTTTTTCCTCCCTCCCTTCCTCCCTTCCTTTCTTGGAGACAGGGTCTCATGTAACCTAAACTGACCTCAAACTTGCAATATAACTGAGGCTGGCCTAATCTTCCTACCTCCACCTGCAAAGCACTGGGATGATAGGATGCTTTTTGTTATTGTGGTTGTTTTGTTTTTTTTTGAGACAGGGTCCCACTGAGTAGCCCCGGCTGGCCTGGGATTCACTATGTAGAGCAGACACACATGTCAGAACACACATCAAAGCAGGTGCAGCAGCTCCTACAGCGAGATGGGAGATAAAAAGAGGCAAGTCCTCTGAAGCTTGTGAGTCTGCCTCATGCAAAAACGACTAAGGAGAGAGAGATGGCGTCTCAGAAACAAGGTGGAAGTTGAAGACTGACACCTGAGGTTGTCCTCACAATCACACACACTGTAGCACAGGAATGCTTGAATTCTACACAGATGTGTATATACATGGATACACATCATACACACACACACACTCTCTCTCTCTCAAATAAATAAAAAAATAATAAACCTTAAAATCAAACCAACTAACCCACGGGGCCAAACATCCTGTTTCCATTTATAAAGTTGAATTCTTTCTCTGGAGATGAATTTCTATCATGAAAAGTGCTCAAGGATTTAAAATTTAGCAGTTAACTTTTTTTTAAAAAAACAAATATTTAAATCATTTATTGCCATTAAATTACAGATCTGCATCTACAAATCATGGAAATTACTGGTTCTTGTTACTAGGGGAAATTATGTGTAAACATGCCCACTGAAGGATATACTATAGTCATTTTTTAAAAAAAAAGTCAAGAATTTTGAGTTTGTGAGTGCTTATAATTATAAAATTTTGTTCCCTTACATTTTTATTACACAAATCCCAATAGATAACATACATATTACTATGCATTACTACAGGTAAAACCATCATTCACAATTATTAAATTAGTTGTATATTTTGAACTATTTGATGAAGACAAATAAATTTTAGCATTGATAAGGCAATAGAGAGTTGGTCTAGGGACTCTCACCTATTCTATAATGTTGGCATGGTTATTAAAGATAGCATTCTGTGTTTTCCCCTCAGCAAGACGATTTATGTTGATGTGATCTGTGGCTCACAGCAGTGTCTTTTTTTAAAAAAAAAAAAAAAAAACAAAAAAAAAAAAACAAAAAACAGGGTTTCTCTGTGTAGAGCCAGCTGTCCTGGAACTTGCTGTGTAGACCTAGCTGGCCTCACAGAAATCCACCTGCTTCTGCCTCCTGAGCACTGGGATTAAAGGCATGGGCCACCACCACCCAGCAGGCCCTGTCCCTTTTCTAGATCTGATCCTTGCATTGCTATGCAGCTGCTTACTCATCTCATAGCTAATAAGCCGCCCCCCTGAATGAGCTGATCTACTTCATTTGTTACAGGGCATGCAAACAGAAGCTAGATTCCAGGTTGTACCTTGTAGGCAAATCTCATAGCAATAGACAGTTAAAGTCATCCACCCACTGATAATCCCTGGAGACTTCTTCATGCCATTGACAAGAGCAATGGGGAGATCACAGACAGCAACTGGGCTCCAGAAGTGTGTACTCATGAGATAGTCCTGGAAGTCCTTGCTCCAGACATAGTCTGCCACTTTACACACCATCGTTCCAGCCATGGCCATGCAGTTCTCAGTGAAGCCATTATTCAGACAGATGACACTAGCTTCAAACCACTGGGGTCCTTAGAGCTCTCACCTTGCACCTGCCTCACAATACCCGAATGCCAGCAGTTAACTTTTTTTACTTCATAAGAAATGTTTTATTGCCGGGTAGTAGTGGCACAGGCCTTTAGTCCCAGCATTCGGGAGGCAGAGGCAGGCAGATCTCTGTGAGTTCAAGGCCAGCCTGGTCTTCAAAGAGAGTTCCAGGACAGTCTCCAAACCTACAGAGAAACCCTGTCTCGAATCGTCCCCCCCAAAAAAGAAACATTTTGTTGTAGGTTTTTTGTTGTTTTTGTTTTGTTTTTTGAGACAGGATTTTACTATGCAGTCCTTATTGGCCTGGAACTTGCTAATCAGGTTGGCCTCAAACTCACAAAACTCTGTCTCTGTCTCCTGAGTGCTGGGATTAATGGCATGTGCCACTATTCATGGCTCATTATAGGTTTTGTTTGTTTTAAGAATCAGTTGGGGGCGGGGGTGGAGCTGGAGAGATGGCTCAGAGGTTAAGAGCACTGGACTGCTCTTCCAGAAGTCCTGAGTTCAATTCCCAGCAACCACATGGTGGTTCACAACCATCTATCATGAGATCTGGTGCCTTCTTCTTGTGTGCAGGCAAATATGCAGACAGAACACTGTATATATAATAAAAATAAGTAAATAAATTTAAAAAAAAAAGAATCAGTCAGGAACCAGGCATGATGGTGGGCGTCTGTAATCCTACAATTTAAAAAGTAGAGACAAGGGATCAAGAGTTCAAAGTCATCCTAGACAACAGAGTGAATTTAAAGTCAACTTGGGCTACATGAGACCATGTCTCAAAAAAACACCACCGTCCCCTTTCTCCCTCCCCTGCAAAGTCATTTGTGCTGACGCTAGGAAATTTGGAAAGTCAGATGAGTGGTAGTAAGTCACCCTCCCCCCTCAGACAACGCGTGGTGACAATATGGTGTTCTTTCTTGCCCCCAGGCCCAGTTTGGTTTTGTTTAGCTTTCACTGCTGCATAAACAGAGTGACGTTTTCTGATTCACTTTACAGCGCTGACTTCATGTGCTTGTGATACTTCCAACAGCTAGGACACTCTGTCCCCCCTGGGAATTGTGTGGGTGGGGCATACCACCGCTGCCGTGTGCCCCATTTTGAGAAAGTCAAGTTCACAGCACCAGGGACAGCATAAAGCAGTATCCTTTTCATCCTACCATTTCAGGGTCCTCCTTGTAGAATCTGATCCCTGCTTTTCTTTTCTTTTTCTTTTTTTCTCAAACCTCAGGGCTTCTGAATGTGTCTCCATCTCCGTGAACCAGCGGTGACCCGTCCGTCGGTTTTGCCTTCTCCTAGCTCATGCATTCTTTGAGTCTTGGTAACGGGAATGTTTTGTCTGGTCAGACTCGGAAGCCGCCAGCAGGATAGAACCAACACTGAGGACTCATGACTTTGTCGGGAGGAGCCTGGGAAAATGGAGCTGTGGATGGCACACCTCTGAACCAGCTGCAGCTTCTTGTCTCCAGCTTTAAAAGCTCTCTGGAAGTGACATGATATCCAGAATCTTCTCTAAGTACGAACAAGGAAATGTTAAAGTTTCTGTTCAATATGTTGAAGTCTTATGTTTTGAAAAGAGCTAGAATGCCAAGGGCAAGGAAAACCCCAGCACTCTGCCTGTCCTCCTGTGAGACCCTGGTAATTGTCTAACAAATCATCAGGTGTCCCCTGAGATGGAACATCTGCTAGGAAAGGATCCAGAACCCAAAGATGCCTATGGGTTTGTCTTCTTCCAGAAGTAGCTAGTGGTTCTTTCCTGGCCATGCCTTGAGGTCTTTTTTGCTGTGCTCTGTTCTGATGTATGGCCTCCACAATTGTGCAGCCGAAGGATGACCTTGCTCTTTGGGTGGGACAACAGTGAAGGAGGGAGCCGTGTGTGTAGAAGTCTGTGGAAAGAGAGCAACACTGAGTATGTCTTTGCCAAACCAGTCCATAGAAGGCCTTTCCCAGGAGGCCTCCAACAGATCCCTGAATACTACAGGGACTTGGGACCCACAGGTCCTGCAGGCACTCAAAATCTCCCTTGTAGTTGTCCTTTCCGTCATCACACTGGCCACTGTACTCTCCAATGGCTTTGTACTTACCACCATCCTACTCACCAAGAAGCTCCACACCCCTGCCAATTATCTCATTGGCTCCTTGGCCACCACCGACCTCTTAGTTTCTATCTTGGTCATGCCCATCAGCATAGCCTATACCACTACCCGCACCTGGAACTTTGGCCAAATCCTGTGTGACATCTGGGTGTCTTCTGACATCACATGCTGTACGGCCTCCATCCTGCATCTCTGTGTCATTGCTCTGGACAGGTACTGGGCCATCACTGATGCCCTGGAATACAGCAAACGCAGGACAGCGGGGCACGCAGCGGCCATGATAGCGGCAGTCTGGGCCATCTCCATCTGTATCTCCATCCCACCGCTCTTCTGGCGGCAAGCCACAGCTCATGAGGAGATGTCTGACTGCCTGGTGAACACATCTCAGATCTCTTACACCATCTACTCCACTTGTGGGGCCTTCTACATCCCATCCATCTTGCTCATTATCCTGTATGGCCGCATATATGTGGCTGCCCGGAGTCGCATCCTGAACCCACCATCCGTCTATGGGAAGCGCTTCACCACGGCACAGCTTATCACAGGCTCTGCGGGCTCTTCACTCTGCTCGCTCAACCCCAGCCTCCACGAGAGCCACTCACACACAGTGGGCTCCCCTCTCTTTTTCAACCAGGTGAAAATGAAGCTTGCAGATAGCATCCTAGAACGCAAGAGGATCTCTGCAGCCCGGGAAAGGAAAGCCACTAAGACCTTGGGCATCATTCTGGGGGCCTTTATCATCTGCTGGCTGCCTTTCTTTGTGGTTTCCCTGGTTCTCCCCATCTGCAGGGACTCCTGTTGGATCGACCCAGCCCTCTTTGACTTCTTCACTTGGCTAGGTTATTTAAACTCCCTCATCAATCCCATTATCTACACTGTGTTCAACAAAGACTTTCGACAAGCATTTCAAAAAGTTGTCCATTTCTGGAAGGCCTCCTAGTCAGATTTGGGGGTGACTCTTGCTCATCTGTTTTGTTCTGTAACCTGACTAAGGTTGCCTTTTTAAATTATTTTGTTTCTCTGAGACTTGGGTTGATGTGTGCTATCTTGGGTCTTGGATTAATCAATAGACTTGTTCTGTATGAATACTGCCAGAATCTTCTAGACTTCTGAGTCACCTAAATCTAGGCCATTGTGTGAAAGGGGACAGGACTGAAGATGTCCCTTAACATAATATTTTCATGGTTCTCTGGATTGGAAGAAATATAAGCTACAGGACTGAGGTGAGGAACTGTCTATTCTCTAACAGGCTCAAAGGGAAGGCCTTCTGGTCTACCTGGGATTTTTTTTGTTTGTTTGTTTCCTTTTGTTTTGTTTTGTTTTTCGAGACAGGGTTTCTCTGTAGCTTTGGAGTCTGTCCTGGAACTAGCTCTTGTAGACCAGGCTGGTCTCAAACTCACAGAGATCTGCCTGCCTCTGCCTCCCAGTTGCTGGGATTAAAGGCATGCACCACCACCGCCCTGCTACCTAGGATTTTATATGGGGCTGTGGAGAGTGGGTGTGATTAATGAATTAGAGAGAGTTTGGAATCAGAATGGAGAGTCACCATCTCCTATAGTTCCTTGATTAGGAAATAACACCAAATTACTTCCACTGGGTCCTGGTTGTCCATAAGGAGACTGATACCAGTGGCATGGAAAGAAATTCAGAAGGTGGCAGCAGGAGAGAGGAATACTTGGGACCAGACCAACTACCCTACATCCTTCATTCTTCCCTCTATCTCTATTATATAATGTTCAGAAGTTAAAACCCACCACCATGCCACTCAAGAAGACTGACAAATGTTGAACCCACCAAGCTTTGAGTGGGTCTCCCCGTTCTGCCCATTCTGATTTTTTTCTGAATTATTTTTTTACAACTCATTGTCATCACAATTCCCAAGATGTTGAGTCTTATCAAATAAAAAGCATTAGACATAGTGAGCAGTGATGTCTTTACAGAATTATTTATTTACCTACTGTTTTGTGTATGTGTGTGTATGATATGTGTGTAAAGATGTGGCATGCCACAGTGCCTGTGTGGAGGTCACAGGACCTCCTCAGGTGTCTGTCCTTGCCTTATACCTTGTTTGAGGCTGGGTGACCCTTGTTTTCACCTCTGCCTTGTGTATTCCTACCTAGCTAGCTCACAAGCTCCAGGGATGTCTCCTGTCTCCATCTCCTATCTCATCATAACAGGAGTGTTACCATTACAGTCCTGTGCCACTGCACCTGGCTTTTTACACGGGTTTCTGGGATGGAACTTGAGTTGTCATACTTGGACAGCAAACACTCTGATCCATCACCCCAGCCTTTCAGGAATAGTAAAATCTTTGCCAGTTTCTTTGTTCCCCTTCTGCCAATGTTTAGACTTTCAACTTAACTCAGTTTACAACATCCACTGAGCACCCACCTCACACCGGACTCTGTGCCCACTATCTTAGCATTTATTATAACAGTGACTGTGGATGCCTGTGAACGTGACAATTAAAAGTGGAGAAACTGGAAAGATGGCTCAGTGGGTAAAGATACCACCAAGACTGGTAAGCTGAGTTTGCTTCCCAGAACCACATGGTAGAGAGAACCATCTCCCACAAGCTGTCCTCTGACTTCTGCACAGGCATACATACGAGCACACATGCTAACACACATGTGAGCATACATGCAAGCACACATGGGAGCACACACAAAAGCACACATGCACACACTTATATATTCATAAAAAGTAAATTTCAAAAATGTTAGCCAGACGTTGGTGGCACATGCCTTTAGTCCCAGCACTCAGGAGGTAGAGGCAGGCAGATCTCTGTGAGTTCGAGACCAGCCTGGTCTATGAGAGCTAGTTCCAGGACAGTCTCCAAAGCCACAGAGAAACCCTGTCTCGAACCTCCTCCCCCCCAAAAAAAAATGTTAGGAAAAAGCAGAAACCCCTCAAGAAATGGGGCTGAGGTCTCGGAACACAGCTCTACGATAGAGTACTTGTGCATTCCAGTTCTTAGGTTTGGATCCCAGCACTAAACAAAAACAAACAAACAACAAAATGAGAGAAATTGAGAACCTGATGCTTCAGTTCAAATCTAAGTGCAGTCAGTTCCTAGCTGTGTGCACTTTTTAAATCCTACATCTCTCTCTATTTTTTAAAAAATTTTATTTATTATGTATACAACGCTCTAACTGCATGTATGCCTGCAAGCCGGAAGAGGGCACCAGGTCTCATTACAGATGGTTATGAGCCACCATGTGGTTGCTGGGAATTGAACTCAGGACCTCTGGAAGAGCAGTCAGTGCTCTTAACCTCTGAGCCATCTCTCCAGCCCCCCTACATCTCTCTTTCTTCTAGTGTCATACACTAACATGGCCCTTGACATAGAAAGGGCCTGTCATTCTGGAGAACCAGAAATTGCACAGGCAGCAATGAAATAATAAAATATAATAATAATAATAATAATAATAATAATCCCTCTAAAGTGCCCTCATGTCCTCAGTGTCCCTTTTCTCACTTTCTTTTCCTCCTCATCTTGCACAGGCAAGAAAGAAATATACCTGTGGTTTGAAGACGGATTCAGGGGCTGGAGAGATGGCTCAGCAGTTAAGAGCACTGGCTGCTCTTTCAGAGGTCCTTGGTTTATTTCCCAGCACCCACATGGCAGCTCACAACTGTCTGTAACTCCAGTTCCAGGGGACCTGACATCCATGGTAAAACACCAATACAGAAAAAAATTTAAAAAAAAATAAAGAAGAAAGCTTTATTAAGAAATAGCGCACGTCTTTAATCCCAGCACTCGAGAGGCAGAGGCAGGCGGATCTCTGTGAGTTTGAGACCAGCCTGGTCTACAGAGCTAGTTCCAGGACAGCCTCCAAAGCAATACAGAGAAACCCTGTCTCAAAAAACCAAAAAAAAAGAAAAAAGAAAAAAAGAGAGAGAGAGACAGCCTTGTAAGGATGAGCCCTGGTGGAAGGATAAGGGACAGGAGTTGCCATGAGGTCTCTGGGGACTTTGAAGGAACAGAGCAGAGGAAGGCAGGGGGCACAGTCCCAGGTGAGACATCAAGAACAAAGCTTCTGGAGTGTTCTATGAAGCCTCATCCAGAGAGAGAGAGGAGTGAGAGCCAGAATGTGAAATGCTGGAAGAGGAAGGAGAAGGCTGGGAAGTAGAGGAGGGCTCCCCAGCAGAAGTTTGGGCTGGATGTGGACCTCCTGTTCAGAACCACTCCCGAGCTTGCCGACCCTGGATCTCTGGTCTCAGAGCCACTGAATCAGAGCCTCTGACAATAAGGGCCAGGAGTTTATTTTGAGACAAGGGGCCACTGTGTTGTTCAGGTTGACTTTAGGTTGACTTCAGGTTGACCTTAGGTTGACTCAAGAGATCCTCCTGCCTCAGCCTCTGAGTAGATGAGCTACGGGTGCAAACCACTACACCCACGATCCTAAGTTACTGGCCAAAGTCTAATTTCTGAGTAAACCCCACTTCCTGTACTGGGAGATTCCTGTCTCTATACCTTGGGAATGGTAGAGTTAGTGTCTTGAGGCTGTGAAGCCTCTCTCTGAGGCAGGGACACCCAATGTGCTCACTGCTCCTCTTAACCTAGTAGACTCCTCCCTCCCTCCCTCCCTCCCTCCCTCCCTCCATCCCTTTTGTGTTTGTGGTGTATACATGTGTGTAAATGTGTGTGCGAGTACATATATACATGTAGAGGCCACAGAAGGACATCGGGTGTCTTCCTCTGATACTCTCCATCTTATTCCCTTAACCCGGGATCTCTTACTGAACCTCTCTACTTTGGCTCGGCTGGTTGGCCAGTAACCTGCCTGTCTCAGCCCCCCAGTGCTGGGATTAAACCATGCAGTGGGCGTATCTGGATTTGAACTTGGTTTGTTTTTTAATTATTTATTTTTATTTTATATACATTGATGTCTTGCCTGCAGGACATCAGATCCCCTGGAACAGGAGTTGAACTTGGGATTTTATGTTTGGTCAGTAAGCACTTCTTACCCCCTGAGCCATCTCCCCAACTCCCCTCACTGGCCCCAAACTCAGAGGTCCACCTGCCTCTGCCTCGTGAGTACTGGGATTTAAGGCATACACCACTGCCACCCAGCTTGTTTTATTTCTTAATTGCCAGATGTGTGGCTGTACCACATTTTATCCATCAGTTGAGGGGTGTTTGGATTACTTCCACTTTTCAACTATTGTAAATGAGGTTGTGAATGTCCAAGTCCAAGTTTTGGTGTGGACATAGGTTTCAAGTCTTGGGAGTGAACTCTCCAGTCAGATGGCAGCTGTGTTTGGCCTCCTGCAGAATGGCCACACTGTTTTCCAGAGCAGCCACACCGGTTTCCCTTCCCAGTGGCAGGACATGAGGGTTCCAGTCTGTCCACATCCTGTGGCTCCTGTTATGGCCAGGTTTTTTTTTTTTTTATTGGCGCCATTCTAGAGGGTGTGACGTGGTGTTTCCTTGCAATGGCAAAGCTTTGTAAAGGGGCCAGAGAGTGAATATTTCCAGCCCTCTGAGTCACTCCATCTCTGCCACTGAGGCATGAACACAGCCTGGATGGCATGTACATAAACTTTCTCTGTTGTTTACTAAAAGACCACAGGCCGCTCAAGGGCCAGAGTTTGCAGATTCTGTTGAAAGAGTGGCTGCCCCATTCACCCAGCTCATCTCTGCCCCTCCTTTGGCATTGTTATTATCAGCTTTAAAAATTGTCATTATTACTGTGTGTATGTGCATGCTGTGTGTGTGCATGTGTGTATCTGCATGTGTGTATCTGCATGTGTGTATGTGTGCATACTGTGTGTGTGTACATGAGTGTATGTGTGCATGTGTGTATGTGTGCATACTGTGTGTGTGCATGTGTGTGCATGCTGTGTATGTGTGTGTGCATGTGTGTATGTGTGCATGCTGTGTGTGTGTATGTGTGTATGTGTGCATACTGTGTGTATCTGCATGTGTGTGCATACTGTGTGTGTGCATGTGTGTGCATGCTGTGTGTGTGTACATGAGTGTATGAGTGTATGTGTGCATGGTGTGTATCTGCATATGTGTGTGTGTGCGCACGTGTGCGTGTGTGTGCGTGTGCGTGTGCGTGTGTGTGTGTGTGTGTGTGTGTGTGTGTGTGTGTGTGCTATAGTGTGCATATGAAGCCAGTGAACATTTTCATAGAGTTGGTTTCATCTTTCCACCTTTATGTGGATCTCAGGAATTGAACTCAGGTCCCCAAGGCTTCTGCCTTTACCAGGCTAGCTTTCATCTTACCCATTCTATTACTGACTTTTTTTTTTTTTTCCGAGACAGGGTTTCCCTGTGGCTTTGGAGGCTGTCCTGGAACTAGCTCTGTAGACCAAGCTGGCCTTAAACTCACGGAGCTCCACCTGCCTCTGCCTCC